TCAAAAGCCCTTAATTTTTTCCGATTAATTATGATACTGTATGAAAACAGAGATGTCCATCGCGGCTGGGAATCTGCCGCTGCCGCGCCGCCGTCGTTTAGAAAATATGATGCCGCGCCGCTACCGCGCCGCGTTGTTCAGAAAAGCGAAGGCTACCGCGCCGCTGCCGCACCGCGTCCAAATTGAAATGTAACGCGCCGCTGCCGCGCCGCGGCTTACTGGAAAAAAAACTTGCCGCTGCCGCGCCGCTGCCGCGGCGATACAAAAAGTACAGTCTAGAAAATGTATTCGTCCTTAAAATAAAAAAATATGTATTATAAAGCTCATGAATTGCTGTGCCAAATACAAGGGTGAAAAACAGATCCGGATAGATTCTATGGATCCTATGGATTTCTAAAGAATATTAATAGAGTGCGTAATAAAATTGTCGGGATCTTCAAAAATCGATCAGAATCCACTTTAATTTAATCAATTCATCGGAGTTTACTATAACCTATAAACAGCCAATTAGTTCTATGTCAATTTATCATCAATTTAGCAACACGGATTCTGATGAATCCTTGGGGATTCTTTTGATTCTTAGAATCCATTAGCATCTACTTTTTCTCCTTAGTCAAATACCTATATGAGATAATATGACTGACAGTGATAAATCTATGAAAATTTCGGCTGAGTTATAAGTATACAACACGTAATCAAAGTAAATATGGTAACCTACTTTCTTTACATATCGTGAAAGAAATATAACGGTTAAATTAGATAGGTGCTTTTCACTTATTATACTAATATTTCGATTTAGAAAAGGATACAAACGACGAACATTTAGGCCTTAATAAAATACTATATAGATGCGGAGAACATCATATTCAAATCTAAGATATTACAATCTATTATGTATATGTTAACAAGCTCCAAGTTAATTATTGTCTTTCGTCAATATCAAGGTAGACTCACCACTTTGATATTAAAAAAAAGAAAGAAAATTGATACAACTCGATTTAAATATTTATCACACTTCATATTTTTCTTTCAAATAAATAATTAACAAACATATTATACAAAAAAAATCAATCTTTATTAGTTGAATCATTTTCCTTCATACTTGAAAGTACTTGTCGAGCACTTCTAATAACTAACATATTATCTACTTGGTCCGGTGAAAGTCGTTGTCTTCTACTATTCAAAATAATGCCACTATAGCTAAATAATCGTTCTGTTCCTGATGATGTGGCAGGAATTGATAGAATTTTCCTCGCAAGGTGTTTTAAGCGAGGAAATTTTGAAGCAAATTCACCGGACCAAAATTCAAGTGGATTTTCTTTAACTATTGTTGATGGTATATCAATTTCAAGATATTGATCAAGTTCATCAGGTTTAAACGCTTGATAATTTGTTCTGTATGAGAACTCAGTTGAAAGAGAAGAGGTTGAAATTGAACGTCGAATAGCAGATTTATGAATAAGGGAATTATCGTCATCAGTAATGTTCATATTATTTGAATCAAATGATTGTGTTTGTATAGCTATAAAAGTAGGAGAAAATAGAAGGTTTAGATCGGGTTATTCATTGATATATGTGTCACCTGCACGAACATCTTCATCTTCGTCTTCATCTAAAAATTTGTGCAGCAGTTTTCGCTTTTTGTTTGTTGATGAAGTGTCAGTCGTTGTAGGTGTATCAACAACACGACTTTCATCATCTTGTAAATATTGACGAATGTTACTGTAGCAACTAGTTTTCATATGATATGGAACACCATCTAATGAAGCACATGATATAGAATTATGTTAATATAAAAAAACAAGGATTTTGGATACCCATTTCTCTTAATGCTGGATGAAGGCACATTGCTATATAATGACGATCATCAAAAACAAAAACTTCCATTAATTTAGCATGTATACGTTCACGAAAAAATTCTACACCTAGAATAATATAAAGGATTTATTTAAATATAACAAATAATAAACTAATTGGACTTCGATAATAATACAACAAGTTGCATCTAATAGAAAAAAATCTGAAAAAGCATTGTATTAATTTCCGATTCAAGCAAAAGAATGAAAAAAGAAAAATTTGGTAGAAGAATTTCTATTTTCATCTAGAGTAACTTTTACACTATCAGTGGTATTTACAAAATGTTGACATACAAGTTATAATCATACACAAAAAACACATACCACTAGATTCAGTTGATAAATAATCCAAAACAAATGAGCTTTGAAATAATGAAGGTTTTTTCTTTTTTGCCGATGCAATTAATTTTGAATAAGAACTATAATCATTTAACAGCTTTTGATAGAAAGGTATTACTAAATGTAATGAAGGTCCTTCATCAATTTGAATACTTTCAAGTGCAGCATTAAGTGGAATCAATAGAATTAAAACATCAATTAAATAATATTTTGTTAAATCATTAATATATTTTGTTGCACGTCGAGTTTCTAAAGCTAATAATGTTGCATCATAATTAATATACACAGATTCAACACATGCAAATAAAGATAACCAACGAGTTACCACCGATTGCTTTAATGTTTTTGTTCCTTCACCACCTAATTGAACTATTAATTCATTCAAGTTCGACTAAAAATATAAAATAAAAAAAAGTATAAGCATCATTTTCGAATAGAAAGTTTAATTAGAAGATCTTTTGATATACAACTTTAGTTCATAAGTTAAATTCTAAATTAATATGTATTCTACTTATTTACTTGACATGCAGAACCGTAATTTAGATCCATTATCCTTCATAATAACGAATGTTTAGATGAATGCATGTACAATTGGATCATAAAACAAATGAACTTTTTACATATTCACTTTTCTATAAATTTCCACTTTTACTTATTATACTTTATTCAAAATGAAAGAATTTACGTCCTACCAACTAGCAAATACAAAGATCAACGTACCATTTTTACATATTTGACAAGAATTTTTGTATATCTAATGGTTAATAAAATTCTCTTAACAGCTAGTGTCATAAATTCATCACCAAGATAATCTTGTTGACCTAAATCATCTGGAATATCTTCAAAACCTTCATCATTGAAATAACCATCAATTTTTTTGTTCATAAATGTGAAGGTTAAAACATTGTGAATTAGATGTGCAAAACAGAAAATCGGATCGATCATATTCAAATTAAAGCATCGAATAAAATTTGATCCGCGATCACTTATCCAATAAACAGAATCAAATCGTGCAATATTATATTTATCTAATTCTTCTTTTAGAACCTACCACATTAAAGAATTTAATCTTTCATTTCTTACAGAACTAAATATCCTTACTTTTGATATATTATCACCCGTTTTGGCTAATTCTACTGGAAAACTACGACAACATAAAGTAAATTTTTTAAATTTAAGATTTATATCAGTAAATGTTGCAGTAACACCTAAATACGATAATTGTCGAAATTTATCGTTCCACATGTCTGGTGAAAGAGTTATTGATCCACTTTTAATTGGTTCTTTCATAACATCAATTAATTGTTCACGATAATTCTGTGCTAGATTTGTTATACTACGCGATATGGTTTGTCTGGATTGAAACAAACTATCTAAATCCATATGTCGATTACAATTTTTTACACCTAAGATAAAAAACAGTAAGATATTGAATATTCTATATGGGAACAAAATATTTGATCATTAAATTAGATTAAATGATCAATATAAAAATTGGACGATCAGTACTTAAAGCATCAATAAATAATAATAGAATGATCAGTATATTATATATAATTACCAGTAAAATATACAATTTATTTTAGTAACGAATACAAAAATTTGATCAATATAATATAGAGTCTTTATCAGTAGAAAAATAAGTTTTAATCATATTAAATAAAAAGTTATCAGAAAAAGAAATTTAAATAATTAAAGAATATTCCGAAAGAATATTTTATAGAAATCTAAAGAGTAAGTGAGAAAAAAGAAAACAAATATAAAAATGAAATTATTGAACCAACAAACCATGTTTAGTCTTAGCTGATCTACCTCTTTTTCTTTTCTTGTCAATAGGAACTGTTTTTGTTGCTGCTTCTTGTTTGCAATATATTAAACGAATAAGCATTTTCTTTGAAAACTTCATCGGATAAATCGCTTGCATATTGTGCAACCTCTATCATTTTCATCTCTTTTACTTGTTCAAATTTAAGTAATGACGAGAGAGACGATTAGATTCACTTAGATCAACCTGAAGTTTCATCCTGGGCAAGTGCAATGCCAGATTAGGAAAGCAGATTTTGTTAAAGCCTTCACTAGTTGCTAGATAGATATTACATTGATATATATATATATATACATAGGTATATATATTACTGAACTAGGTTAAAACATGCTATTCCGACATTGCGATCATCAATGAAGACATCAAGTTTGAACATGAAAACTTATGGATAATTTTTCATAATAGCTAGGCTGCTATAGACACTTATCCACAAGTTCTAGAATCCTAAATTAATTTTTCTATCGACGATTATATTAGCTGAAATGCTATTTTTTTTTCAATATAGTTCAGTAAGAGATATTTCAAATTAATAGCTAATCAGGGATAATTGAAAGTTTTCATGAAAATCAGTCTCCTAATCCGACATTTGACTAGACGCATCTGAGATTGAATTGAATCCCAGATTGGGCAGAACTGGATCGGCTGGTTTGCCGGTTACCGGTCCAGTTGAACTTTTAAAACCTGTATAGACCGGTTGGACCGGCTTTTTTAATCAAATTTTAGGGCACGAAAACTAAATTAGTGTATTTTGGTCGTTTTTATTGATCTTTATGGCTTCAAAGATCAACAAATATGAGTCTAAACGTTTTTCACCGACAAATTTATGGTTGTCATTAAATTTCCAGCTCTAAATTTTGAACTCACGCTTTCTCGTCGTATGGTGAGGGTCTTGGGTTACACTGAATGGATGTATTATGGTCATGAAAAGTTAACAATCCATCAGAGACTAAATAAAATTTGAACTAAAGATTTTCCTGCTCGAGATTTCGAGCTTACTTTTCTAGAATATTTGTTACTAACTGTCAGAAATTCATAATAGCTAGTTGTTGTTACTTCATGCTTGCATTATTTGAATATTAAAAAAGACATTCTGTTGTTGTAAACGTTATACCAACTATTAGTCTTCTGCAACTGTGAAAATCCGCAGGTATTAAAAAGGCTAAAATATGATGTCTAGCATAAAAAGCGAACTTTCTAGTTTATTTTATCTTCCTAGTTTTTTGCCAGTTAGATCAAGAATTTCAACCGGCCGGTCGAAAAAAACTCAACCAGTTCCAAGTCTGATATATATACGTTGTATTTGTTATCTGTACGACATAGTCGAAGAACAGAAAAAAATAAATTACACTATAGCACATTGGAATTTCTATACTCATCTTTTTATTTAATTTACTGTTAATTAATTATATTTGCTGATTCTCAAATTTATTTATAGATCTTATTAATAAATAAATGATCATCGAAGTAAGTTATTGATTCAATCATTCGATCTACTGATTTTATAATAGTCTAATATACTGATCTTTCTTCTATTTTACTGATCACTTAACTCCGAGCCATTCTATACTTTGAATAAATTTAAGAAAAAATAGATATTACCTTGATCATAAAAATACGAACATATTTCACGAAAACCTGAATCTTCAATTATTGATATAGGACGTAAATTATCAGATACCCAATTAGAAAACAATTTTGTTAAATGTTGTTGTTCAAAATGACGAAATGGTTTTTTTTGTTTTGTGAAATGCTTTTCTAATGTAAATGGATTTTCAGTAGTTGTTGAATTGCATGATGATAATGTTAAACCAGTACATTGATGTCTTGCTATGGATTCTGTTGAAGATGATCCATAACGATAGGTAATGAAGCATTTTTGGCATGATATAAAGTTAGAAACGAAGAATGCTTCACCTGATACTTCTTCTTTTGCAAAACCGAAATTTGACCACCAAGTGGCTAAATGTGTTTTACTTACACCATGTGCAGTAACAGTATATCTATCAACTCGCAAACTCAACAATTTTTTTATCTCTTCAGCTTTTTCTTTAATTTCATTTCTTGTTTTTTTTTTCGATATCATCAATAATAGCTAATTTAAACTTTGATTTTAATTGTTCTTTATGTAATGTACTTGTAGATGATGAAGTTATATCAACAAGAATATCATCATCTGTTGAGGATAATGGAAGATTAGGACTTGCCATTCAAGATGATTTATCAATATTTTAACGATAGTTTTGTAACAAATACGTTCAGTGTGCGAATAAAATGATAATAAGAGCTAAATTCTCCTAAATAAAAAAAAAAATTTGGATAATTATGAAGAAATTGGTATTTGGTTTATGTTTATAAAGAATATTAGATATTTAATTTATGGAATCTTCGTTTTTGTATTCCACCAATCATAAAATTGCAAAAGACAATGGCGAAACAAACAATTCGATTTTTCACAACTTGACTACAGTCACTACCTCTATTTGTATTTTGTTTCGTTCGATACATAGTTATCATTGTCAGTTTCTCTATTCGTTTACTTTGTATTATTATTTTTACATGCAGAAAATACCAAATGTGTTAAGATTGACAGATCATATAGAAAAACGGACTTTCATTCTTAGTACTGCCATTAATACTTTGTTTATTTGGTTGCTGATAATCCTGGTATTTCAAACTTTTTAAAATAGTCAATTATTTAAATATTCTCTCACATATATTGTCTAAAACTGACAATACAAAAACTCACTATTAAAGTACTTGCAAAAATTGAAATATTACAAATGAGTGAAAGAGAATAAGGACATTAAATTTGTTTTATTTTATTTTATTAAACGGACGAACTGCTTACAGATACAGAGTGAACAAAGAGTGCTGCTTGAAATTAGCATACCACCATAGCCATTGCCTGTTGATGTCAATTTTAAACGAATATTTTTCAATGTTCTTCGGAACGTGTACCAAGGAAATGTTTTTTTAATGTATGAAATAAATAAATATCTATCATGAGGAAAACTAAAAGATAATAAAAACAAATTTATTATATTGTTCAAAGACGTTAAGTATTAAAAATGCATATCAATTTTTTT